GGGAAGTGGTGGGGACTGCTCCCTTCCCAAGAGGGAAGTAGCTGCCTCCCCAGACAGGGAGGAGGTGAGACAGGAAGCCACAAGCAAGGAGACGGCTGCAGCAGGGGCAGGACTCCTCACCCAGTAAGGGCAGAGACCCTGGGACTCATCCCCGCGAGCCCGCACCCCCCACCCACCGCAGGCAGCCCCATTCTCCAACCTGTCTGGCCGAGCACCATCCTGCAGGGCTGGGCAGAGCCCGGGGCCAGAGCAGGGAGCCCCATCGGCTGCAGGAGTGACTCGTTTCATGGAGCAGGGAGCCCGGGCGCAGCTGAGCGGCAGTGAGGATGGGCTGTGCGGGAGGTGCCGGGTGGTGAGGGCAGCCGGGGCGCCAGGCACCGCCTCCACAGCTCCTAGTAAGGCTCATTCTTAATGAAGCGGCTGAACATGGTGAAGGCAGCAAGCGGCCGGTCCGTGGGCACCATGTGGCCAGCTCCCTGTGGGAAACGGGCAGCAGCAGATCAGTGCTGGCTGTGGGGCTGCCACAGCCCTGCGACCACCTCCAGCCCCAGGCTGCCTGCAGCACAGCCAGCAGCGCCCCACTCTGACCACAGCACTAGTGTCCGGCACACCTGCCCACGCTACGGTCAGCAGCCCTCTCCCTGTCTCCCCAGAGCTCCTTGGCCCTACCTTGACTGTGAGGAAGGCGATGTTGGTAAATTCCTTCACAAAGCCCCCAATTTGGTTCTCGCCTCCTTCAGTGTAGAGCCAGGGCCGGCGAGCCACCTGCACCTGGGACCGGCAGCAGCACCCTCAGTGCCCCAGCTGCTCGAGGCAGGTGGCCAGCCCTGCCCACACTCTCGCCGCAGCCAGCCCTGGCGCGCAGCCGACTGCACAGCCTGGACTGGTGACCGGCCTGGCCCAGGCCCTGCTCTGCCCACTTACCTTCTGGCAGAGGGAGTCCACAAACCACTCATCCCCGAGGAAGTTGCAGGCCATGTCGACGTCCCCGTTGTACACCAGGATCCGGTACTTCTGCAGAGCAGAAGGAGGGTGAGTGTTTCGCAGGGCAGCAGCCCTGGCCAGGCAGGAGGCTGGTTTAGCAGAGCCGGTCCCAGGGCCCTGTGGGCTCCCCTGCACGCACCATGGCTCCGAGCAGCTTCAGGTACTGGTCGTTCATCTGCATGTACAGGCGCTTGTAGTAGCGGTTCACCTCAAAGCTGCGGAGGAGGCGTCAGCGTCATGCGGCTGCTCATGCTCGCGGAGGTCCCTCCCCGCCCAGAGCTTGCTCACCTGCACACCTGCCACTCCAGGGCGTCAGGGGAGATGTGGAGAGCCTTCTTCACCTCTGGGGAGTTCAGATACATGCTGAGGGCTGTGGAGTTGGTGCAGGGTGGGTCCATCCGGACCTTATTCCGGGCTACCGGCATCCGGAACAGGTTCTGGGAGAGAGTCAGGAGAGTCCCTACCACAGCAGCACCTGGTGCTAGCCCCCACGGGAGCAGATGCTCTCTGCCCCCTCCTGCCCACAGGCAGCACCACTGGCCGGGCAGAGGATGCTCACAGCCTGCTGACACGGGTGCCCGGGCTCACCTGCCGCCAGGAGAACCTCATCGGCATCCGGATGAAGGAGTTGCCCAGGTCATGTGTGATGAGACAGTCACCCTCGTACCTGCAGCCGGAACGAGCACGGGAACGGGCTGACAGCTCTGGAGGAACAAGGGCTCAGGCCCCTCCCTGGGGGAGTCCTCAACAGCAGCCAGACACGGTCTACCTGTCCCAGAGGGACCCCCTGCCCAGCCCACCATGTCCGTCTGCCAGCCAGGACCCACACGCTGCAAATCAAAGCAAGCTAGTGCCTGGAGACCCGTTTTCCCTGGGGCCACTCTCACCTCATACTCCCAGGGACACCGCCATCGCATGGGGCGTAGAGGTTGTAGATGTTGAGGCCGGACTCCTCCACAATCTGAATCGTCTCCTCCATCTGCAACGAGCCACAAGGGTTTGGGACTCAGCAGGACACTTGAGGGACATGGGCCCATCCAGAGCCTGGCAGGTGGGTGCTGCTCACAGACACCGGGGCACTGGGCACGCACTCAGGGGCTCCAGCTCTCCTCACCTTGAGCGTGCAGTTCAGGTTGGAGTTGTCATGGAAGTTGCACTTCTCTTTGGAGCAGCAGAAGGCCTGCAAGTCCTTCCACAGCCTGCCAGCAGAGACCAGGGGACTTGGACCACACTGCCCAGGCGGCAACGCCGACACGAAGCCAGCAGCCGTGGCCACAGCCATGCTGCAGCCTCCCTGCCCAGCGGCCACACAGCATGTGGCTCAGCCCAGTGCCCCATGTGCCCCACAAACAAATGTGCCTGCCTGTGGGAGCTGCCAAGGATGAGGGGCCATCTCCGCAGCCTGGCTGCTGGCCCACATCAGGCCAGGAGCTTCCCTTGTCCCACAAACCACCGACCCAGCCAGCCCCATCCCATGCCATGCCCCTGTCCTGCTTGCCCAGGGACAGCGCATCTAGCAGCAGCATTCCCCCTCCTCTTACTCAGTCCCCAGCAGGCCGTGGTAATAGGCAAAGTAAACCAGGGAGTTGTCATTGATCTCGTAGGATGAGAGGCCATTTCCCACAGCGATTCCCTGCAAGGCAAGAAGAAAACAACTCTGTTGTGTTCCAGCTCCCCACAGGGCAGGCGCAGCCACAGCGGCATCAGGCAGGAAACAGATTCGGCACTGTTTACTCCACAGAGAGAACAGGAAGGGTCAGGGGTGCCTGAGAACACTCCCCGGTCCCATGCGACGCAGCAGGGACGGACAGGTCTGCCAGCAGCCGCTGCCAGCACCTCAGGAGAAGATGAAAGGCCACGGGGCCAGACCCCCCCTACCCCCCAGAGGGGGCCCTGCACGCCAGCTGCACAGCCGGTCCCACCCCGGTCCCACTCGAGAGCCCCAGCGAGGTCCTGACAAGCCCTCTGCTCCACAGCTCAGGCCAGGCCAGCAGCAGAGCCCAGCTGCTCACCTTCAGGTTGAGGCTGGGGTCCTGCATCACCCACTCTGCCAGTGTGGGGATGTAGACCCCCCCATAGCTCTCCCCTGTGAGGAAGAGATCGTTCTTGGAATACTCAGGGAAGAGCCGGAGGAAATCCTTCAGCGCCAGGTAGTTGTTGCGAGCAACCTGCAGGGAGGAGGAGACGGGGGTCAGGCAGCAAGGCAGGACCTCCAGTGCCCAGGCAGGGGCAGGCAGGAGGCAGGTCCCTCCCAGCAGCCCGGGTCACTCGCCTCGGTATCGTTTGTGGCATACTTCTTGTCCTCGGAGTAGGAGAAGCCGACGCCAGCGGGGGACTCCAGGTAGAGCACGTTGGCAATCTGCAGGGACGGCAGAGGAGCTAGAGATCAGGGGAAAACCCCCAGCTCAGCAAGACAGAGGGCTGCTGGCGGCACCCACGGGTGCCCGGCCAGCCCCAGGGCTGTGCTGGGGGGGCCACATTCCAGCCCGGCTCCACAGCAGACTCAAGAGGAGGGCGTGTTGGGCAGGGCTCCGTCCAGAGGGCAGGAGAAACTGGCTCAGGGCCACGCTCTCCCCACAGCCACGGAGGCTGCAGCACCGGCGCCCGTACCTTGTTCCAGGCGTAGTCGTTGTATTTCAGTGTGACCCCGTCAGGCTGGATCTGGGGAAGCGGAAGGCAGTGACTGATGGGTACAACCAGGCCGGCCCCAGCTAGACGGCTCATGCCATGCAGCATGCTGGCCCCCAGCGGCCCTGAGCCGCGGGACGGCTGTGACTACTGACCAGGAAGGGGCCGTGCTCCTTCAGGAAGCCCTCCATGGAGCTGCAGCCGGGGCCCCCATTCAGCCACAGCACCAGGGGGCTGCTCTGGGGGTTGCTCTGGGCCTCCACAAACCTGCAGACGCACGGCCGTCAGTCCCCGGTACCCGGCCGGGCCCCCTCCCCGGCTGGTCGGGGCGCGGCCCGGCACCAGCCCTGGTACCGGCGCGGCCCCACGTACCAGTAGTGCAGGTGCTGGCCCGGCCCGGCGCAGAGGTAGCCCGAGAAGTGCCGGAAGGAGGGCTGCTTGGTCAGCCCCGGCAGGAAGGTCACCTCGTGGCCCGGGGGGGCGGCCCGGCTCAGCCCCAGCAGCAGCGCGCCCAGCAGCAGCGGCCCCATCTGCGGG